GGCATGACAACACCGTGGTTTTTGGCTCCCATATTGGACTGAGGGCATTTTCAGTTGGTTAGCTATGTATTTAGCCTCAAATCTCAATACTAACAATGATGTTAAACATGTTTGCCACATTGGCAAATACAGTTGAGAGGAGAGTTGGTAATATTGCACTAACCTGAACACGTTTTCCTTTAGCTGATGCTCTAGAATATATATGCATACCAGCCTGAGGGGTAATAGTAAAACAAGGAATGGTCAATATACCACAGGATGAACAAACTGATTCAAAATGGATCAGAAATCTATTGACAACCGATTTCATTTGAAAAAGAAACCAAGAGTTCATTTATTGATGTATTAAACTTTAGTATATGCTTCACCATCCACCCCGCCTTTGTGATGTGTCAAAACCTTATTGATGGCAAACGGGTGAAAGTTATATGAGGCAAAGACAAATGGGAGAGACTTGACCACTCACATATAAAGCATAAAAACTAAGATTGAGACAACTACCAAAATATTTAGTCATTTATTTTAGCGCAAAAGAAAATGTAAATTCCACTAAGAGAATCTTTATTGACAAAATATGGAGAATCTAGATTTCTTTTCCCTATCTTTTGATAAGATAATAATTTCATTGGATTGCTGGGAAAATTCAAGGTATACAAGGTAGTATTCAAAAGTAGAGTACCTACACAAAAATGAGGTTCTCTACAAATGCCCCTCAATTATCTATAGCGCATTCAAGTTCAAGGAAAACTTGTCAATGCTTCATACTAGACTATCTTAAAATGCCGAGATGGTTATCTGCAATTAAATTTCTAAATCACTAACAATTTCATTTGTAAGGTCCAGCAACATTCACAACTGTGGCAACACCTTTCTGGTAGAGATTTAACTAAAACCTCCAAAACCAGAAAATATAAGTAGTGGTAGATCATTACTAGAAAAAAGTATAAAGAAGACAAGTTAACCCAGATGCACCCCCTTCTCCCACCCACCCAAAAAGTACTTAAATTGTGGCTTAAGGTGTCAAGAAATCAATGCAGTACTCACTGTATTTGAGCCAACAAATGATATGGCTCTGATATCGTCATCATCACATATAGCATTAACAACGTCCTGCAAGACAGAGGTATCATCAATATCCACAATTATGCCATTCAAACCCATATAAATATCTCTACTACTGATTCCAATAAATCCATGTTCGTAAAAGGGTATGGATGGATGGGATGTGGCCAAGAAAATGCCTCCCGGGAAGCATCAATATACTTTTCTATGTAGCGGGATAAAATGGAGATTCACTACATAGTTTTACCCACTCCTTTGGTGCTGTTTAAAATATATAGAATAAGAAGGCCAGATAGAATCCATACATTTATTGGACTAAAATAAAGGAGCAGAATAACACATAACTAGCAACTATAGGAAAAGACATACATGGGTTCCATGAACAATATTTAGAACACCATCAGGCAAACCAGCCTCCATTGCCAACTCTGCCAACATCATGGAAGCCCCTGAAACCAAATGATGAAACAAAATAAGTCAAATGCAGAAGGCAGCATAAATGATGCTCTCTTTTTTTTAAGTTATATACACTTTGCTTTACACAACTGGTACATGAACCTCTGCCCCTAAATGTTGCAACATCTTATGCTATAATAATTGAAAAATATGGAAACAGCTACCTGGGTCCTTCTCTGAAGGCTTAAGAATGAAGGTGTTGCCACAAGTAGCTGCAACAGGAAACATCTGCACCAAATTTGTATAAACTATATAAAGATGCTCATATTTTCTGAAACTTAAGCTTAACACCCATTCCATGTCCCCACCCAAAAAAACCCACAGATATTGCATGGGGAAAGGGAGAACGATAAATGAAAAGGTAGTTGATACAAAACAGCCCATAAAGATGGACATCTGATGACTAACAATAGTCTCATTCTAATCAAAGTTCAAAAGCTTTCTTGATCACATAGTGTTGTTATGTGAAAACAAGTGATTCCTCAAGCAAGGTAGAAATCAAGGATAAGACAACCAAGTTCGAACAGAGACGAAACTGGAAAGAAATTTAATAAATGCACTTAAATGTATGGAAACTATGAAAGGAGAAAAAAAAAATAGGAACATGCTTACCCACAAGGGAATCATTGCAGGGAAGTTGAATGGACAAATCCCGGCACAAACACCCAGAGGTTCCCTTAGGCTATAGGTATCAATTCCATTTGATACATTAGACACATACTCACCCATCTGCAAAGTTGCCATTCCACATGCATGCTCCACCACCTCTTCACAAAACAGAAAAACAGAAATTCAAGTTCACAGTCATCAAACAGAAGATGTTTCCTTATGCCTAAGTGAGTGAAGAACTAACCAAGACCACGGAACACATCCCCTTGTGCATCTTTCAGTGTTTTTCCCTGCTCCGTAGTCACATTGAAGGCAAGCTTATCCTAAAACAGACACAGGATAAATGAAGTGAACAGAGATCACAAGCAAAGAACTGCAAAAAGATACGATAATCCTACAAAAAACAAACCATGTTCTTCCTAATAAGCTCTTGGAATTTGAGCATGACCCGTTGTCTTGTGGTTATGGGTGTGTTTTTCCACGACGGAAAAGCCTCCTTGGCTGCAGAAACCGCAGATTTGAATTCTTTATCCGTGGTTAAAGGTATCTGAGAAACCACCTCTTGGGTTGCCTATGATCAAAACGCAAGCAATTATAAATTTCCCCTAGTATTAGCATTCCATGTAAAGATTGCAACTTTAACAGATAAACTTACTGGGTTTATAACATCAACGAATTCTGATGATTGTGAATCTACAAAGCTGCCACCAATTAAATTTGGAACTCTCTGATAAAAAGAAGATCAAGAAAGTTTTTAACCCTAATTAAAACACTGCTTCATAAGAAAATTTTCAGAGAGATTAAAAGCTGTCTCATTGATTGAACAGCGAACAAAAAGTATAAGAAATAAAGCATCATCACACTAAACCATCAATTAACCTAAAACATGGAGTAAATAAATACTGACTAGGGAAGTTCGATGCTTCCATGAGGATTCAGTAGCAACTGAGAAGTGATGATTAGCGAGAGCAAAAATCCCAGGAGTCAAAGACCTTACTTTCCGCACTGCAACAAACAAACAAGATTCGTGGATTACTATCAATTCACAGAAAAGATTAATATGAAAAATAACAAAAACGGTATGCGAAACCTCACCTCTATGAACTGAAAACTGCATCATTGTTCACTTGCCCTCCTAAATATTTTGTTAAAAAAAAAATGGTATATTCGAAATTTTAAGTCTCTCTATATATATTCAATAAAGGTAATGTTTTAGAGATTATTATCCAATTGATGATGAAGATCATCGTCAGTCTTAATATTTTTGGTAATAAATAATATTTGCGTTTTGGCAGATTAGCCATATCAGATTAGATGTCATACAGTTGTCGGGTATCTTAACGTATTAAAAGACCTAATTTTTGTTTCTTCTTCCATAAATCTCTTAATTTTAGATAACGTAAATCACATCTTTATGACATTTATATTTTAACATATAAAAATTGAAAATTTGGGATAAAAAGATAATGGGTACCTTTGAGATGATAATAACAAGATGTAGAACGCGAGTTGTGAATTGCAATTGAAGAAGTGAAAGCCAAAGCCATTTTTCAAATGCAGATCTTTTATCTAGAGATTTTTTAGAAAATGATAGTGTTATTATAAGCCAAAATAATTTCTTATCTACTTTTAACTATTTAGTTAAAAATTCTATTAGAATTAAAACCAAGTAATAAGTTTAAATAATATTTGAAATCAATATTAAATTTAAATGACACATGTAGGCGAGAAAGGTTATATAATTCAAGATATACTAAAAAAACACAGGATATAGTCAAATATGGAACTTAGTAAAGACATAATAATTTAGAGAGATTTAGTCAATATCTCTTTAAATTAAGGAAAGGATCACAAAATAAGAGATGATTTATATTAGGGATTTGCATATCTGCCCCTTTGGAGTTTTGAGTAGTACTGTTATTTATTGGTAAAAAAATTCACTACGGAAAAAAATAAGTTCTATAGAATATATTGAATTCAAAATAGGATAAACGAGATAGGAGATGGAGAGGTAGTGTCAACACTGTAGGAATATATTTAAGTGAAGACTATAGTAATATGATAACTAACTTAGGTTATTTCAAAAAACCTACAACTGATAACTCACTCACATTTTTCTAGTTCCAACTATGAATTTTTGCTAGTCAAAAGTTCAATGTCCAATGAGATCCATCAAATATTGGTACTATCATCCCTTGAATGTTCTCCCAGAGATTCACCATCACAAACTGGGAATCATTTGGGTGTAAAGGCAGATGGACTCTATCTACATTTGAGACATCCCTCCCCCCGGAGATACTCCATTGCCACTCTGATAACTTAAAACTTGTAGTCCATCATTACGTTAATGTTGGCGATCCTCCTTCACTACTGGGGAATTGCTTCCATTGCTGAGTCACTGTCTTTACTTGGGTGCAGCAGCATTTATGCAAACCTGAGTCCATCAATATGCGAAAAATTGTTAGATTTTCCGACAAGTTCCCCAGTTTTTCCATTTGTAATTATGATTTTTTTAGTAATGGTGATTTCTGGGCTTATTTGTGGGCATCTTGACTACCCACTAAATACTTGATCCCTCCCACCAACACATGTATCAGTCCTACTCGGTATCTCACTTCCTGGGAAGTATTCCTTAGTATCCTTTTTGATTAACCAGGAAGTGTGAATTACAATATTAAAGTAAAAAAAAAAAAAAGGATTTCCTACCTGTCTTGTTTCAATCTCAATCTGGAATTTCCTCGCAAGTGCCCCGAAGCCCGTGCAGATAGATGTTCCATAGCAATATTTTCTTCATAAAAGCGGTGTAAAAGACGAGACCAAGATAAAAGAAAAAACTACACACAGATTTTATAAAGTAATGGAAAAATACTTACTTTGGTTCACAAAGTTAATGGCCTCATCTATGCTATTAGCCCGCACTTAAAACGACCAGGAAAATGCACCAAAGAACAGGAACCTTAGAAACATAGGACAAACCTGCATACAAAGAAGAACAGGACCTAGTAGTTCCTCCTGCACACAAAAGAAACAATAGCACTCTAAGAATAAAGTTTTTCCATGCATGCATGAAAATACTCAAGGAATTAAATTGAAAACTAGTTACTACCTTGGAACATTCAATGTCTTCTTTGATATCAGATAATATTGTGGGACCAATGAAGTTGCCCAACTCATATTTGGAAACCTAGTTGTCATCCACAAATGTTTAAGAGAGAAGAAAGCAGCTTTGGTACCTTTAAATTGCAAAAACGAACTCCATATTAGACCACATCCCTTCTCCTGTCTAAGAGTTTCTCAAAGAAAATGCAATCATTGCCACGGAGACTGACAACCAAAAGAATAATCTAATGGTGGAAAGTCTGCAACGCTACCTATTTTATCTTTACTTGCAGGCAGATGACCAAGGAATCAAACTAACATGTCTGGTCAATCAGGAAAAAACACAAACAAGAATCTTACAGATTTTGCCAATTGAAGGAAGTTAATTTGGAGAAATGAAACATGACCTCAATAAGTGAAATAAGATTATGAGAAACTGATACCTTCTACTCTTCTTTTTGAACATTTGATACCTTGTATTCTTCTTTAGGCCTCTTACAAGTGGAAACAGGAAAAATGACTCTGTTTGACTTCCTATTGCAATCAGTTTTATTTGTTATGCTTCAGAAGAAGCATTGCAAGCATATGGCAAGTATAACTCATGAGATAGCACTATCAGGACAATCCAGTGTACCATAAATCTAATTACAATCACATTCATCGAGTTCAATAGTTTCTTTCAACAAATCTTTCAAGTTCAATACTTTTTAAATCAGCTCAGGTCTCTTTTCACCCAGGGCTGGTCCCTTTTTTTATGGGAGGGCGGGAGGTTATCTTCATCAAACAACTCCTGAAGCATAAGAATCAAAAACACAAAACAGCAAAGTAGTGAAATTACCGCAACTTGTCTCCCATCAAGAACTAGTTTGGCTCCACTATCAACAATTGCTTGGATTAACTTGGATATCCGTTCCTTGACCTATGAATGCCACACCAAATAATCAGATAAATGAAACCAAGAAGGAGAACGAAAAGTAGCACTAGCATTCATCAAAGTACTGAAGTTAAGCGACAAAAAAGCAATAAATGAATGGTAATTTTGCAGTACAAACTCAAGATATTCCAGCACCAACTGTAAATATCCTATAGGAGTAGAAATTAGAGTCAGTGTATGCACGTGTTTGCTAATTACTGGTCCGAGGTCTGCACCAGGCTCAGTTCCAGCATTTACTTTAGTACCTTTATGCATTCTGCTAGTTTATCTTCCATGTCAGGAATAATTAAGACACTCAGCATATAAATAGAGCAAACATGCACTAATTAAATAACTGCGAAGCAACAGCAAAATGAAATCTTGCACAGCACGAGTCTCTGAGATAAAGATTGGAGCAGTTAAAAGTATAAGATCAACCTGAACTTGGAAAAGGATATACAAGTCCACCACTAAAATGTGAAAAAATGTATGATCCATACCTTGCCTTGAACCTTACTAAACTAAAAAAAATTACTGAACTTAAACTTGTCTATTCTTTTTTTGCACTTACCAGAAAAGGAAGAGTGTGACGCCCTATAATCCAACTCCTCAAACTATAAGAAACGAACTTCCTTATTTTCCTTTGATAACAGTGGCGTCCGCGCTTACTATTCCACTAGGTACCTGGTACCTTCCACAGCACACCTACCGAGTAACTTTATCCACCAAGGCTTAGGCAGATGGGAAAGAATCACTAAGTGTTTTATTGTCTACATTGGGATTTGAACCATAGTCTGCATGGTTCACCCCTACTTCATTGACTTAGGACACACCCTTCGGTGCAAACAATGACCTTCCTCTCCATACAACACAGAAAGGTGCCATTCTTGGAACAGACTAATAAGGAGAAAGCGACACATTACCTGGAACAAAAGGAGTAATTCTAATGAAATTTAAACTCAACTTGGGTGTGTTCGGTACCAAGGAAAATGTTTTCTAAGAAAATATTTGGGTTTCTTACTTATTTTCTTGTGTTCAGTATGTAAGCAAAAGTATATTACCTAAAGGCAATCGTATATAATCTAGACAAATACTAAGGGAGGTAGGGGTGTGGGGTGGTGACGATGGGGGCTATGGAGGTAGGGGTGTGGGTGGTGAGGATGGGGGCTATGGAGGTAGGGCCGTAGGGGTGAAGATGAAGTGTGTTGGAGGGTGGGAAGTCACGGTCAATGTGGAATACGACTTTTGAAACTTGTTTTCCATACTTTCATTAGGGAAGTCATTTTCCTTATTTTTAAGCAACTTGATTTCCTTGAGAAAATGTTCTCCAAAAAATTGACCAGCCGAACATGGGAAAATTGAAACCATAAAATGTTCTCCCCATTACGCAAACACATAAGCTATCAAAGAACTTCTGAATTTTGAAAAACTCACAATCGGTTGCTTAAATCTTAAGCAATGAATGGAGTGCTAAATCTTTCTTTAGCTTTAATAAGTCCAAAAACCTCCCACCAAGCTATCATAAGTCTTAAAATTATAAATTCGTTACTCCTCTAACTTGTCTGAAGTTAAAATAGCATGTAAGTTTGTCTACTATGTAAGTGCTTTAACTTGAAGTGTTAGAGACAGACCTTAATTTTGAGTTTATATACCTAAAAGATTTACAAGCATCTTAACTTGAGCAACTTTGGATGCTTTTTATCCTTACGGTGCATAGCATTTGATTTCTTGGACTATCTAGAAGGGCGAAGTGGAGTTATCTTTACAAAAAGAGACTAATGGTAGTCATGCATACATACTAGAAGAATGAACTTTTCTTAAGTGACAATCTCTTTGACAGTCAGCGAAGAATATAACATACAGTCACCTTCCAGAAAACAGGAAAGTTCTTGCCTCAGCAACAAACAACAGACAAACTGGAATTTAAGAAAAAAAAAGCAGAAAAGCGAGTTGATCAGATGAAAAACTGGAGAATTAAGATGAGTACCGTGATTTTGAGCCTCCAACAAAGACCAGTGCTAATTGTTGTGCACCGTTCCCCTGCAACACCAAAACCAGCAGCAACTAGAACATTCAAAGTAGCTTCAACATTTGTATAAGGCATGACAACAGCATAATTCTTGGTTCCCATGTTGGCCTGAGGAGAAAAGTTAAAACAGTGAGTTAGCAACAACTAGACTATGGTGCATGGACTCGTTTACCAGTATGTTTGAATATCGGTGTGTACAAGTATTGTGTACGGACATTTTTTTTCCCTTTTTCTGAATATCCAGTACATTTTAAAGATATAAATAAAGTAAGTAGCTACTTAGAGAAAGAAATTCTCCCCTCTTCAAACTGTCAACCAAATCTGATCGAGCTGAGAAACGTAAGTTAATATATGGCGAAGAGAAAAGATATACGCCACTTCCATTTCTGGATTGAACGGACATGAATCTGGTGAGATCTTACAGGGAGGTACCTGCCTGCCTGGCACTATTATTAGAAGGGATGCAGGCCTAGTGTGTGGACTTGTTCAGGAAGATGGTGACTTGTGTGGAGATTATTTTGACTTTTGTGCATAACAGAGACATCTAGTATGAAATTGGAAGTGAGAAACAAAGTCAATGCTTTGATCATGTTGTTGTCGAAGATGGAGGCTTCTGTTACTAATTCTGAATTTTGTTGGAGACGGAGATAGTAGTTTGATTACATAACCTAACCAGAAAGTTGAAGGAGATGATGAAAGAGATGGAAAGAGAAAAGAGGATATGGAAGACCGATCCTTCTGTATTTTTTCGATTTTGTGGAGTGAAAAACACAAGAGAACTCTTGAGCGTATAGAGAGTCCACTATTGAGGTCAAGAGTTTTCTTTAATTTCCTTTATACTTTTGGTGTAAGATGAAATTAGTATAGCGAGTTGGTTAGACTTTTGGGGAAGCTTGATGTATTGCTAACATCCCACAAACTGAGGAAGCTTGCGCCAAATGAAAGTGTAGGTTGAGGGAAGCCACTTAAAACACTTATGTGAAGATCACACCATCTGGGTGTTGTGCAAAAAAAAAAAGTAAAAAAAATTGACTCATCAAATTAAAAGAAAAAAAAATCAGCATAACTAGCCACACCCACATAACATCTATTCACATGGTACATCAAGACAAATGAAGGATCCATGGAGCAAGAGTATCTATATTTACCTTAGCACCTTTACTGTTGTTCGCAAATGGTCTGCCACGCATATACAGTTGAGCCTTGAATTGTGAGAAAATAAGGAATATGTTATGAACATGATGAAGAAGATGCAAATCATAAAGTAAATGAATGCAATCAAGAGGGGAAGAGTATGAAGGCTGTAGAGTTTTTCACAATAAATAAAAGCATATAGCTGGAATCATACCACTTACCGCTATAAGTAAATTACTGCCTCTCAAGCAACAGGGAGGATTGAAAAAACAAACATATATTTAACTACAGGATTCATTTTCCTTAGATGTTTACTGTATCTTCCCACCATACTTTGTGTTGCAGTACCTTTTCTTTTTTTTTTCCTTTCTGATTTGGGTTTGTTTTCCATTTTTCTTTCTTAGAGGATACTTAGACTATTAAACAGTGCAAATCATCCTTACAATAAGATCCTGTAACTTGTCATTTTCTTTCTGCTTTGTTTCCAGTTGGGGATGGGAGGAGTATTGCAGTATCAAAGCATGGATCTATAGCTTCCATATGCTTGCTATGGTTGATTACTTCAATGACTAAATTTCTTCTAGAGAATATTTTTATTATTTACTCGCTTCCAAACTTTCTCAGCTTATCCTCTTTTTTGTGTTTGATAAGTTAGTAAGTTGATAGATTGTTTTCTATACTCCCTATCAAAAGTTAGTCATTATACTTAAGGTAGAATTAGAGTGACCAAAAGAAACTAATACAGGGTTATGCAAGGGTCAGAGATCCAAAGAATGAAACACTACATCAATACATCATTACCACGAGGAATGTTTTAACCCCAAAGAGCGTACAAAAAAAAGCAACAATTTCAGACAATAAATGTGTTTACCCAAGAGTCAAACTTACAGCATCAGAACCAACAAAAGACACAGCTTCAATATCGTCATCATCACAGATGGCATTGACAATGTCCTGCACCAATACGTTGTGTTAGTGCAGTGAGATCATATATGTTGGATACGAGCATAGATACTATGAGCAATTAAATATTTTGAATTATGGTTGTATCCTATATTGGTTGTCCACATTATCATATTTCTCAATTTGATATGCTTAAAGAAGAAATTCATTTGCAATTCACATGACCAGTACAGTTGGTTTGGAAATTTTCCATTAGCTTATGGCGTACTAATCTTTACAGCATCCATACACCTTCAATTTTTATGGATAAAAAGAAAACTACTGGCTCATTATAAGCAGTGAATAACCATACTAGTTTCTTGACATGAAAATGGTTACAAGTGTACTTCTGCAATATAACCATACTAAAGCCATTGGAAATGATGCAGATTTCTTGCAAGTAATTATAGTAAAACTAACCTCTTTCAGAACTATTCACCTTAAATTTTCACCCAAAATAACCAATTACTTGGAGCTTTCTCAGATGGGTTTAGAATGAATGTATTGCCACATGAAATTGCAACTGGGAAGACCTGCAAAAGAACTCACCATTAAAGTCATCAGTTAGTTCATAACACTGTCATACCACTTGCCAAACAGCCCAAACCTTGAGAGTTGAGAGAGAGGAAACAAATAAATGATTTTTTTAATAAAAAGTGCAGTTGACCTAAGCTTCTTTTGAGCAAAACATCTGCTAGACTTCTCTAAGGGCTAATTGATGATAAAAAAACCAAGCTTCCTAACATCTTCAATAATCAAACCCAAAGGATCATCCAAGAGACATCAGTAGATCCCGAGGAAAAGACACAAGCTGTGGATGCACCACTATCCTTAGGGATCAAAGAAGAAGACAAAAGGAATTGTTCAAAGAAGCTACTGCAGAACATTGATAAAAACACAAGAAAAAGAAGTTATGGGGAAACCTTAAAAAGTTATGTCATCTGAAGGCCGAAGGGTCATTCAGTTCATAATGCTAACACTCTTGTTGATATGGTTGGAAATCCTCCACATATTTAGGGGAAAAGACAGCATTTAAGTACACATCAACAAGTTTGTAGAAATCCTGTTGGGAAGTGATAAGCATGTATTAGATGGAAACAAACTTTAAGTTCAATTATAATGTTGTCCTAACCTTTTGTAATTATGGATGCCGCAGATAACAAGTCCTATCCAGATAAGTGAAAGCATTCAGAAAAGTGTTCAGGCTTCCCTTCAACAGGGGATACTTTCTTGAACCGCACAGTTCACTATGTTCCAATATGTGAGGAATTCCAGTAGAATCTTTGCTGCATTCACATTAAGTTCTAAGGCACGGGCTGTTACTTGTTTTCCATAAAGAAAAACGAAAGTAAATTTTATCAAAATCTTGATTTCCATTGGCAAGTAGCTCTTGCTTTGTCTTTCTTGATTTCATTACTCTAACAGATCAAGAACTTGTCAAGAAACAGATTCTTTATGTAATTTTATAGTCAAATACAATGTTAAACCAAGAAAATATACTCATTACTATAAGTCTATAATACAAGAAGATAAACTATTACTCTAACAAATCAAGAACTTGTCAAGAAACGGATTCTTTATGTAATTTTACAGTCGAATACAATGTTAAACCAAGAAAATATACTCATCATTATAAGTCTAATACAAGAAGATAAACTATTACTCTAACAAATCAAGAACTTGTCAAGAAACAGATTCTTTAGGTAACTTCACAGTCAAATACCATGTTAAATCATTGTTATAAGTCTATAATACAAGAAGATAAACTTACGGAGGACGACACCAAAAACTTTGTTCTCATCGTCATTGGATATTGACATTACTTCAGCGCCTGTTTTCTTGTGTTTATACAAACAGTTTTTGATTGACACTCATCAATAAACTCGTCCGACACTTACTTGAACCAGAATTTGTCAGCAAGCACCAAGAAACTCTAACAAGTAAAACAAGAAAGAGTCAAATTAGACAAGAAGATAGCAATGGAGTACTCAGAAGTGATTGAGGGCTGGCGGTGAAACTCCGTCAGTGTGAAGAGCGTGGAAAAATTGTAGAGCGAAAAAGCACCGCTCTCTCCATTCTCCATTGATGGCGTGAGGAGAAAGCTAAAAGAAAGTGTGTGAAGAAGATATATATAGAAATATCGAAGGGATAAAAATGACTTTTCAGTCAAAATTTATTGAAGCTAAATCTTTTTGTAAATAAAAAATAGAGAGCCCGGACGCGGATTCATTTATTCATCAAAATTCGAATAGATATTAGTATTATTTTTTTGAATATTTTTCGATTATCAAAAAAAAGAATTAACTAACGGATCAGATAAAAATTAAAATTATAAATATTTAAATACAAAATGTAGCATCACACCCTAATTAGTTACTATTTCTTCTCTGTAAGACTCCCTCTATTTCATATTAACTGCAATTTTTGGACCTTTTTTAATTGTTCGGAATAATTGTATCATTTAAAATTTAATATGAATATAAAATGGAAAAATTGTACATAATGGCAAACTATTAAGTCAAATTAAATGGTATAACCACACTTTAATTTAATTGTGTCATGTAACAAACTGTTTGCCAATCGTCTCTCTCCCTCAAACTCTCGCTCGCCACTCTCCCTATTCCGCTCGCTCCCTCTCTCGCTTTATACAACAGAATTGTATAAATTGTGTTTCTGTTTGTATAAAGCGAGAGAAAATTGTATATACACATGCAAATACATATATATTCGTCTTGTACACTCATAATTATACAATAAAAATATTCCCCTGCCCAGTTCACTTTTGCCACACTTTGATTTAATTGTGTCCTGTAGCAAACTGTTTGTCAGCGCCTCTCTCCCTCAAACTCTCGCTCGCCACTCTCCCTATTCCGCTCGCTCCCTCTCTCGCTTTATACAACAGAATTGTATAAATTGTGTTTCTGTTTGTATAAAGCGCGAGAAAATTGTATATACACATGCAAATACATATATATTCGTCCTATACACTTATAATTATACAATAAAAATATTCTTCTACCCAGTTTTATGTTTGTATAATGTATAATTTATGTTTGTATAAAGCGAAAGAGAGAGCGATTTTTGAAATACAAATATTTTTGTCAACGATTTATACAAACGAGAGGCTAACAACAATTTATACAAATGGCCTGTCAGCGAAATTATACAAATCTGAAGAGGAGCCAACGAATTATACATATATATGTTTGCTATGGAGCGCAATTATGCAAACTTTACTATAGCATACAAATATGATTTTTTTGTTTGCTATATGTGAAAGTTGTTCATATAAAATTGCCCTACTTATAAAGTTACATTTACTCCCTTCATTCACTTTTACTTGTTATTTATTCTTAAAGTAGATATTCATTTTTATTTGTCACTTTTGACTTATCAAGAAAAAATATTTTTTTTCATGTTTACCCTCAGTATTAAATATTTATTTTTCAAATCAACAATTATTTTCTTAATGAGTGTATCAAGTCAAATAATGATAAATAAAAATGAACGGGGGTATGATTTCACAAAGAATAATAATGGAAAGTAATATTTAAATTATATCATTAAATGTTTTTCTTAATAAGTGTGCATTGTCTCACAAATTTAATTAAATATGGAATAGAGAAAGTATGTTGGCTCTAACTCATTTATTATATCATCTAAAGTTATTTATGAACTTCGAAAATTGCTTGTTCTCTACCTTATGGTTTTTTTTATTGGATATTCATATTCTTTCATACAATATTTGTCAAATTATGGTGAGTCAATATAATCAAATATTATTTCTTGTATTTTGTTCGTTCTAGACTTTTCCTTATCAATTCAAACCATGTCGTTCATTTGGGCTTCTCCATCTCCCTTAACCTCTTTTTGAAATTAGCTTATCGAGTTAGTAACATTATTACAATTTTTTCATTAACACATGTTGAGCTTAGTATCTCTTCATCGTAAGCCTTCAATCTCTTTATTTTTAAAAATGGCAAAAAAATAAAAAAATATTTACTCCACTTAAGCGTCTATAAAAAATAACATATTTATCCTCGCAAAGATAGAAGTTGGTCATTATTCAATTATTTAAAAATAACTTTTAATTATATAAATTATTGAGTTATCAAATTCCATATTTTTTTGAGAAATAGACGACAGTAAAATTGATTTTAAGCATTAAAAAAAAAGACAAATAAAATTGGTTTCCAAAATAAAAAGTACTACTAGTATTTAAAAGCGTGGCAAAAATCAAAATGTGGAATGTGGATTGGGCAGAATTTCTGATTATCTTCTACAGCCTCATCCTTACTCAAAAAGTTCCGCAACTTTCAAAGTTTGGATCTTTATCTGTTTACGAAACAGGGAAAAAAGTACTTTTTCTTCCACCATGAGAGTTCTTCAAGCTTCCAACATCTACGGTGTTGGTTTTGGTATTCCATCCATTTCTACTCGCCCTAATTCTTCTTATCAGCGCCATGCCACTATAGCCACAGGTACTACAAATTTCAATTTTTGTTTTATTGCTGTGCATCTTTGTTTTCGATGAGTTGATTAAGCAATTAATTAGGAATGTAGTTGAGTTTTGAGGGGTATGAAGAAGGCAGTGACGTTAGCTGGAATTTTCATTAAGGTGTTAGATGACACTCCTCAAGTACATGTGGCTCTGCCACTGAGGCAGGACAGAGAGGTGTTTCCCTCACCGACTAGTCATTTGGATGATTTGGTAGGGAGGTGATACAAATTTTAATGGAGTCTCTATGTTTTCCCAAATGCAAAATATTAACTGTATTTATTCATGGAGTAAATGGATATCCCAAGTTGTGTGTTTGGATGAGTTTTTGAGAGGCTATTTCTTGTATAGAACCTACAGGCTCCTCTTTTTTTTGTAAACGATGTTTTTATTTAAAGCATTAGAAGCGGAAGAAATCAGTCATATGACAATCTCATCCCACAAAATCCTTTTATGGATGGAACTTCTGTTTAGATTGACAAAGAGAGTGTGCTTCATCTCATAAAGTACAACTCTAATTGACAGGTTTGTTTCTTGCTTACTGCAAATTGTAATACCTGATTATGAACACTCAAAAACTGATTCCTAGGATGCTTACTGTAGTTGGATTTTTTTATATGCTGGAAAATACACGGTTATTATGGTTCCGAAGTTGCTGAGTTCTTTATTAAGGCAAAGTTTCTGAGTTCTTTATTAAGGCAAAGTTGCTAAGTTTAATGGAGTACTTGTTAATGCGAACTAACTAGGAACTTATATATTTTGCTTCTGACCTTCAAATTCCATCAACTGTATGGGAAATTTTGGTTAACGAGCATTGCTGCTAATATTTGGTGTCTAGATTCTAGAATTCTTTGGAGAATTGGCCTGTAATCTAATTACTAGTAAGCTGGGATTGGCATTTCTTCCTACCCAATTCCTCTGCGGCTCTGTGGTTAACAGGATATCTGCTTAGTCTGAGATGTTGCCCACAACCCTCAAGGTCCAAGCCTTACATCTCCTAATTATACTAAATGTAAATGATATGGCTGTGTTTGCTGATTGCAATTGGCTTCTATTATGGATCTTCAGTTAGAGATTTTTGAGCCCCAAATCCACGACTACTTGATGTCCATTTTAGTTGCAACTTTGCTTTTGGTTCTTGGATGTACAAGTTAAGATGAAATAACTTTTGGTAAAACTACTTCTCATATTGTCTAACAATTCTAGGGGAAGCGTTGGCCAAATCAGCTCCAATAGGAAGGAAGTTCTCGGAGCAGCATTCATTGAAGAAGGGAGATATGGAGAAAGAAGGAAATTCAGTTGTTCTCGAGGTTCCCTCCCATGTTTCCTTTTCGTTTTTTTGATGTTCAGCTATTGATTGATACATAAGTATGATTAGAACTAAGTATAAATTACATTTGCAGCTGTCAATTTAAAGTAATTAATTGTTTTTGACGGACTTTTCAAAGTAATCATATGACTAGGGTTAAAGCTATCTTAATATGCTCTTTACTGATTTAAACGAAAATGTAAAAAGTGAAGTACAAAATTTTGTGAGTATTTGAAGAGTATTCACACTATATGTGATGTAGTATTCACTATAATTGACAAAGATCTGCAGTGGTTGTTTCAGTTTTTCTACCCTGCGGAGATGAATGAGCTCAGTTTACACAAACCATTGGCACTATGTGTTTCATAGTCTGTCACTATACATTTTCTGATAGACCTTTGGTAATAAGTAATTATTACACAGTTTCTCACTAGAGTTTCCGATATATAATCAGAAAAAAGATTTTGCAGTTCCAAGGAGAAAGGCTATGGCCCTGATATTCTCCAGTTTTGTGCTCTCAAATTATGAATTGCCCAAAGCTGCATATGCTCAAGCTGTTGAGTTCAGGGAATATATTGATACCTTTGATGGCTATTCGTTTATGTATCCTCGAAACTGGATTCAAGTGCGTGGTGCTGGTGCTGACATATTTTTCAGGGATCCTCTTGTTTTAGATGAAAATCTCTCAGTGGAGATATCATCTCCTTCATCCTCTAAGTACAAAAGTGTAAAAGATTTGGGTCCACCAGAAGAAGCTGGAAAGGGAGTCCTTAAACAATATTTGACTGAATTTATGTCCACTAGACTTGGTGTCAGACGCGAATCAAGTGTTCTTTCTACTTCATCAAGGGTAGCTGATGATGGGAAGCTGTATTATGATGTTGAGGTAAAATATTTGCATTTTGCTAGTTGTGAATGGTCTAGGGACCTTTTGGTTTCTGATTATAAAGGTGTCTTAGACTGTTAGACATGCATAAGTATTTAGCCTTCTCAGTACATAATGTTGTTCTTACTATGTTAGCATCTTCCACATTGGTGGAGGATATGAGTTCTTTCCTTAAATGGTTTTGGGTGATTCTCACCTAACAAGCAAAATTTTAGGTTGATTGTTGAGTTAGGCACAAGGTCAATTACTTTTTCATGGTATCAGAGCCAACTTCATTCCTTTTCTTGGTTTACCCAAATGTTGGACTCCATATTATGTTGCTCACGTTCCAGCCTTGGCCGTGGGTAGGGGTGTTAGAGTGTCCCATATTGGTTGAAGGGAATGAGTTGTTGTCTCTTCATATGGCTTAGGAAAATCTGACCCATTTTGGGTCGTGCAAGGAAGGTCAAATTTTCTTAACATATGCTATATATAAGTTGTGTCAACGCCTGTTGATGGGAGAGTAGCTCCCAGTTAAAGCTTCATTGTCTTAGTTGATTTGTATAGCATTTCTTCTTGGTTCTTATATCAGTATTTGTTTTGAATAGGTGAATATCAAGTCTTACGCGAACAATAACGAATTGGCTGTTATGCCACAAGATCGAGTTGCTCGTCTGGAATGGGACAGGAGATACCTTTCAGTCCTCGGAGTGGAAAACAACTGTTTATATGAATTGAGAATACAGACACCTGAAAAGGTATTTGTTCAGGAAGAAAGTGACATTCGTGCAATTATGAACTCCTTCAGAGCAAATAAGATTGCAGCTTGACAAACTTTGTTAAAGACTCAAAATGATAACATGGGAACAATTGATGTCTGTTTAGCTGTTGCTTTTTTCTCCAAATTGTTATTGCATAGATTTTGTCTTGTTCAGTATTAATTCTCTAAGTGGAAACTAATTGACCTGATTATTATGGAACACCACTTCAGTTGGATGAAACATCCATTTCTTTTTACCAAATCTACCTTGCGTAAAAGATCAGGTTGCCAGAATTACAAGTTACGAACATAAAGAGAAAATGAAATAATGCCAAACAATGAAGAGAGAATCTGTCTTCTATTGTGAAAAAGCCTAAGATCATTTTTGATATTTCAAAGTTTTATCAGAAGGGGGATCTTTACCTTGCAGAAATACTCATTAATGGGGTACATCTTGTGAAATATAAAATATTCTATGGATGTATTCATACTAAGTTCTGATACAAGATTAGTAATACAAAATGCTTTATAAAAGTGAGTCTCAGAAGCATCAACATTGCAAGAGAATAGACTGCGACCAGTGATGAACAGAAACAGTAAAATCTTGTTAACATTATTCATGCAACACTTGGCAAAAGATAACAGTTTATTTCTTGATAAGAATTGAGTTGCTACATTTATACTACCATTGTATTTACAAGTAAAAATTGAACATAATTCCCCTACACAAGGAGGAGCTAGTTTCTGTCACTCTACCTTGAACTGTGCAAGGACCAATTAGCTGCTAGAGATTTAAGTAAAACTGTCAAAGAACAATCATAGGGCAAGTTGTGGTGTGTGGACCATTTCTTGATGTTGGTTACAGCTGGACAAGTTGATGCACAATCTCAATGCCAAACAGTTCCTGGTCTGCAATGAAAGGGAGGCAAATCTACAGTATTTAGTGTTTTCCCAAGTAATAAAAAAAACTTACTCTGCTGACAAATCCATGTCAAGAGAGCTAAAGAGGGTATAATGAAAAGCATCATCAAGATTGGTGTTGAGAGAACTATAATTCTCCTCAGCTACTTTCGAGTGGTCCCTTTCATAATCCTTTTTCCCAAAAGGCTTCAACTTTTCACTACATGATTTGAGTTGGTCTTCCAAGATACTTCTCTCTGATTCATGCTGAAGTACAAGCCATTGTAATGATTGGATCACTTCTTGGTCATGTAGTTGCTTTTCCTCAGCCAACCTTTTATATTGATTTGCTTCCATTTCAACTAAACTCTTCTCATTCTGTAACCGCAAAATCATTGCCATTGTTTCCTCAGTTGCTGTAGCAGCAGCCATTCTCTCCTTATCAAGTTCCAAACGAGCAGCATTTGTTCTGTGCCTTTCGACCTTAACCATTTTTCTCAGTGACAAAACATCAAACACTTTGTCTTCATCATAATACTCTTGTTCATACTCGTACTTCTCATCATCCAGTTCCTCATCTGAAACACATTTCACTTTATCACTGGCCAACAAACCACCATTCCTGGTTTCTTCTAAATTCGAATTCATCAACAATCTTAACAATCCAGACTTGCAAGACTTCATTTTTGCATTACACTTCCCATCAAAATCATTTTTTGTGCAACACCCATTTCTCAATTCACCTGATTTTCCACAAAAATACCAACTAAATTGCAAGACCCTCAATCCCAAACCAAACAACAAGAACAACCCCAAAACTTTATACACTTGCCCAAACCAACCAAACACCAGAAACCCAAATCCCAAATCAGCATTCAGACTCAAATGCTTTAGGGATTCAACACAATCCATGCAAACAAAATCCAAGAAACAACCCAGAAATCTCTTATTGAACTCAAAAACTGAGCACAAAATGAACAAGAAGTACACAAGACGAATAATCTGCATGTGGGTCTCAAAGATTTAAATGACACTGTTTGTATATACAAAAGAACACTTGTTTTCTTGTTACGAAATATGGGTTTTGGTTAGTGAAAGAAAAAAAAAACAAGATTTTACAGCAAATTTTGGTTATGGAAAGAAGCAGAAGATAGGAAAGGCGAAGAGATCGAGGACAAGGCAACGATCACTCATTTTTATGTCAGTACAACGGACTGAAAAAGATAGCTGAATAATGCCGCACGATACGGACACTATCGGTTGGACTTTCTTGTAATTCACCCTAAATTTGATTAAGTAATTAATCTCTCCCTAATCCTATGTTGTCAGAATTATTTCTGGCTTACCCAAATATTCGTTTTTAGACCATTGCTTTAAATCTTTTCCATATCAATTTCATTTATTTTTTGCTAATATCCGTTGCATTAGCTCTTTTTTCTTTTGGAAAAAAATTGATGGATAAAACACACTGTTGGGATTTTTTGGTCCGTAAAATGTTTAAGACAATTAATTGCTTTATCTGGTTAAATAATGAAGGAAATAATACATAATTGTTGATTATGCAAAATGAATAAAAAAATTAAAATGAAGTGAACGTTAGCTTATGCGTTTAAGAATATCAAATTCATTTAAACATCATCATACTCTATTCTAAAAATGTTTTAAGTACTATTAGAATCTCTAAACAGAACATATTTGTCAGAAGTTAACATGAGTGTCAATATTTTATTGTTTGCACTTTACCAGTTTACCCCTAAAAATATATTATAATGTGCTATTCAAACGAAATAAAAGAGATATTATTGTGTCTTGTATATCGAATTATTTCATGAGATACTTGTTATTTTTATTAATATAGATACGGATAACTCTGTTGAAATGAAGAAAACAAATGACTTAGCATTTCTTTTGTTTTTATTGAAATTTGACCTGAATTTGAGCATGTTTTGATTGATTTAAAAGTTGGTCAATGCTATTTTTAAGTCATTTTTAACTTTTGAAGTGTTTGATAAAGTTGATAATAACTTTAAATACATTTAAAATGATTTTAAAAAAAGTTAAAAATGGACTCTATAAAAAAATATTCTTTTCGGTCAATCCAATCTTAGTTTGCTTTCTTCTTTGCCACTTTGTCTTTTCATTAAAACTATAAAAATATTAAATTATGAGGATAACTAATAATTAATTACTTGCTTGGAAGTGATATTGTTTGTTATAAGTTCATTATAAGGATGAATAATGATAGTAATAATAATATATGTAATATGTTTTGTATAAATTAGGCTTGAATAAACGTACTATATACTAAATTTATATTTTGTAATGATAGATAAATTTCGACTTCAAGTTGTAACGGTATGGAAACCGTAAACAATGTGAATAGCTCTTGGTATACACTTGCAAGAAATTCAGTGCCAATGCCCAATAATATAGAAGCACGAGAAAAAGGTACTTTTGAGGTTAAATTCCAAAGTTCTTTTCAAAATTAAAATAAAACAAGTTGGTATTCAACTATTCATCAAGTTGAGATGCTTGAATGAAAATTTTTTATTTTTAGTTTATCATTCCCACTAATTACTAAAGATAATTATATTTAATTAGTTGGTTTTGACCAAGTTCACGTGCTTGAATGAAACTCAAATGAGTCGGATTGACAAATCAAAACAAGTACAATAAGGATTATTTCTGTTAACAATAATAAACCTTTATTTTTATTGTTCACTTTAACATATTAAGAAAAAAACAACATTAATAACTCATTTCTCAAGTGCAGACTATTAATATGAATATTATGATAAAATATACACTTTATTTATTCTTAAGGAAATTTAAAATCCACTATGGATAAATAAAAGTGAACAAGGTATTTCCTCTGTTTCAAAAAGAAACGATCTCATTTTCTTTTTAGTTTGTTCAAAAAAGAATAACATTTTATTTTCAGTTTTCCACGTAGCATGTTTAGGACCGCAAGATTAAAGGACAATTTTGTACATTTGACATAACTTTAATTTTATGATCACAAAATTTAAAAGTTTTATTTATTTTTTTAAACTCAGCATCAAGTCAAATTAGATCACTCTTTTTGAAATGAAAGGAGTTTATTTTATTGCAAATTGATCATTCTTGAAAAGTACAATTTGTCATCTGCACCTAAATCCTTTTTGAGGGTTTCTAGATCGTGAACTCGACTATTTAGTACCTTGGAGGCTAGGGTATGGTCCTTTTAAAAGGTGCTTATTTTAATCTCTAAAAGACATTAAAATTATCCAAACATGGTTCGTCACAAGAAAAAGGAAAAGCTAGTGAAACCTCAAGAAAATGTTCAAACCATTGTAGAGCCATGGCCAAATCTACCTCAAAAACTCCTAAACTTAATTGGAAAACAACATCCTCATCTAATGCAAAACATCAATTTTCGCGGTGTTGCCAAATCATGGAGAGTAGGATCTAAGCAATGTAGTTCTAATTCACAACTAACATGGCTTGAATTACTTCCTAACAAAGATCAACACATTAAACATACTCTCAACATCTCATTTCGATCAGGTCAATATTCGTGTTACAGTAAAAGACCACGGAATGAATATCCCTGGACGCGTTTTTATGGTTGTTCACATGGATCGATTATGGCTGGTGGAAACGATCCTGTAGAGTATACTCTTTTGATTCCTACTGTTAGAAACTGCTATTGGAGTATTCCCCTTTGGGATCACTCAATTCCATTCAAATTTGCAACTCTGTCTTCAATTCCTTACAACAATTGGTCTGTTATGGTACTAACAGGATGTTCCTATCCACTTTTCGTGGCTTGTCATACAGGGTACCCTTATAAATGGATGAAACAAACGAGTAATCTCATTGATCCGAATTGTTCAAAAAGACAATTTATGATACTTACTAATGCTATTGGTTTTGAAGGGAAGTTTTATGCAATAAGTTTGCAGGGTACTTTAGTGGTAATTGAAGAAATTGAATCGAAATTTCAGGTAAGCAGTAGCAGGGCTGTTCCATCAGTTTACTCAAAGCATTTCACGGAGTATTTTGTTGAATCCAATGGAGAGATCTTGTTGATTTTTTTGATTTCGGAACAATCGATTAGGAAGGTGGATAAAGTTGAAGTGATGAAGCTAGAGATGGATGATGTATCATGGTTAAAATTGGATAATCTTGGAAATAGAACGTTGTTTGCAGGGACTAATTGTTGTATATCAGTTAATGCAAGTAGTCAATTGGGCTGCAGAAGCAACTGTATCTACTTCAATGACCATGCTACTGATACTTGGAAGTTTTATGAATTGGGAAGTGATAATATTTCGCCCTGTTTTGATGATTATGGTTCTCAAAAGTGGAGAACATTTTTTATAAATTACATTGTATATATAGATCGAATACTTAGCTATGTATATTGCAAATTAACTAATCCTCGCAAGATAAAAGAGACCAAGACACTTGTCCAATTCTTATTCATTGAAATAACGAGTCGCTTGAATTGACTTATAATTTATAATCTCTAGTTCTTATAAAATAAATTTATTGAGATTTTTTTTATAGTTGAAAATAAGCTAATCATTCAAAATTTAAGAAAACTCTTGCGAACTTTCTCCCTTCCTATATTTATCCTTCATTTAATGAGATTTTTAAAATTATTTTCCATTTTTTTATTAGAATTATTTGAAAATGATCAAAAAAGCTAATATTAAGAATTAGCTTTTGATACATATTCTTAATATTTTTCTTAAAAAAAGTGTTATATATCAATAATTCACTTAATATGAATAGGTAAAAATATAAGTCAAAAGTTATAAGTTACCGTCACTTAATATGAATAGTATGTGTATAAGTCAAAAATCATAAGTTTGTATTTGAATTGATTTTTGACTTATATAAATAAAAAAATTTAACTCATACTACCTCTGTTACTAATAACTTGTCCATTTTTCCTTTTTTTACTTGTCCATTTTTGACAAATCTAGAAAAGATATTTTTTTACATATTATATCTTCAAATAGTTACTTTGAAAAATGTAGAATTTCTAAAAAAAAAACTTAAATTTTAATTCATCTACTTCATAATTGATAGGGCTAAAATGGTAAACTCATTATATCAATCATTATTTTCTTAATAGGTGTATCAATTCAAAAGTGAACGAGTAATTAGAAAAAAAGGGAATAACTTTTACGCAATTTATTTAATTATTTTGACTTTAGAAAAACTTTTTAATCTTACTCAACTTCTATAAAATTGCTCAAAAAATATTTTAAACTTAAAAACAATTAAATAAGAGAATTATTTTGATCGAAACTCAACAAAAAATATTTAAAATCTATTTTGAGTTAAAAACATCTGACCTAGAAAATTCGTTTGAGCTTGTATATTCACATTTCAAACCCAGATTTTACAGCGCTCACTTCAAGTAAATGGAGAATTTTAATGGTTTGTCGATGCTACCGGAGGATTGTACTGCGAAAATCTTGGCCTTTACAAGCCCTCTCGACGTCTGCCGCATTTCCCTCGTCTCTAAATCACTTCATTCCGCCGCGGAGTCTGATTCTATTTGGGAAAAATTTCTGCCCTCCGATTATCAGTCGATCATTGCTGCATCACCGAGTCCCATCCCTGAATTTCATTCAAAGAAGGATCTCTTTGTTTATCTCTGCCATAGCCCTCTCTTAATTGATGCAGGTCGCAAGGTAATAAATGAAAAGCTAAAGGATTGTATTTATACTTTTCATTAGTCAATTTAGTGTTATTTAAGAGACTCCATAGCGTACTTTTTGTCTGCAATACCAATCGCATGAATTATCTTGGGTGGGGTCGAATTTTGAGTTTATATGTTCCAGATTTTAATAGTAAAAAAGTAGCTTTAATGGGTATAATTTTTAATACATATACAAAATTGAGCCGAAGTTATTAGCTTTTGCCAAAACCCTAAGGGACCTGTAGATTTTTTTTGTATCTGTTTTGATTTTTCCATATGGTGTCCAGTACTCTATTGGGGCAAGACTAAATTCAGATTTACGCATAGCAAGACCCAACTCTGATGGCGGTGTTTCCAACATGATTTTTTTTTAAAAATTTCTTAGAGGCTCGAACCCTATACACCTGTAGTTTACAAGGTGAAGACCATGGTATTGAATTATTGATTATTGAGGATGTCCTTTAAAATGTATTGATTAGTAAATACTAGATTTAAAAATTGTTTTAATAAACTAAGCTTGTGATCTTTTTCTCACTAATGGAGTGTCAATTGTCAACTTGTAAGTAATAAATTATGAGTTTGCTCATAACTCCTACCATCAACTTTATCACCTTGGGTAGAGAACACAAATTAACTTGAAAATTTAATTTGGTAGTAAATGTTTTCCTTTATTTCCCTCAAAGGCTAGTGCTACTTATCTTTATCCTTTAAGATGTTTTTATAAACAGACATCTCTTGTCATCAGGGGCGGAGGCAGGTAGGGCCAACGGGTTTTTGGCGAAATATTACACTTTTTATACTTGGTTAAAAATATTTTTTATGCATGTATATTAGAAGTTGAATCCTCTTGGCTTCTTTGTGTGTTTAATTGTTTATATTTTGAACCTTTGTAAAAATTTTGGTTCCACCCTGCTCATCTTGTAAAATCTCTATAGGAACATGTTTCTGTAACCTTGTCGTGTTTCATTAGTTGTGCATTTCTTACTTTATGCTATTGTTCAACAGAGTTTCTCACTGGATAAACGGACCGGAAAGAAATGCTACTTTCTAGGTGCAAGGGATCTTCAAATTACATGGAGTGATACACCCCAATATTGGAAATGGACTTCACTACCAGAGTCCAGGTTTGCCTTTTTTGTTTCCGCGGATGTCTAGCTACTATCCTTTTCCTGAAACAGATGTATGCATATTTAACAACAATTGTTTGTCAAATCAGGTTTCCAGAGGTAGCTGAGCTCATACATGTTTGGTGGCTCGACATTCTGGGCAAAATAAGAGCTGGGATGCTGTCACCTCGGACATCCTACACAGCTTACCTTGTTTACAAGCTGGAAGATGAATATGGTTTTATTTATCGACCCTCAGAGGTTTCAGTTGGAATTTCTGGTGTTGAAGTCGACACGCGATTAGCATTTCTGGTGCCTGAGGGTAGACCTCAACGGCGTGATCGCTTTGAAGAGGCAGAGATCAGGGAATCAGATGATGATTATGAGGTTTTTACTCCACCCTCTGATGTGGATATGGAGGATGCTTCTAGTGTCATGCAATCTGATATTCAACGTCCTAAACTTAGAGATGATGGCTGGTTTCAGATAGAATTGGGCGAGTTTTTTACTGAAAATGAAGACGACTGCATAGAAATGAGTATGAAAGAGGTGAAAGACTCTGTATCTCATAAGGAAGGCCTTATTGTTGAAGGAATTGAGATAAGGCCAAGAATAGGTTAATCATCACATATTTTATAGAATATATTTGCTATACAGCTACAATGCATTTCAAATAGAACATGTTTCTTTTTGGACCACTCATCTATTTCAAGTATGTTTTGGTGCTATGGTAACTGGAGTTCTTGTTTATAAATCCATACTGTACTTTTTGTTTTCAGACCCATAATCATATAATCAGGGCAATGAACTAGGTTTGCACTTCCCATTTCATTAAACTGCCAATTATTAGTGGAATGCTCAGTAATTAGATGAGATGTTTGTTCTCCAGTTTGAACTTTTTGTAAGCATAAAATGCAGAAGTCATTATTTTTCAAGAATCAACCTTGGAGCACAAGGTTAGTGGTAGTTTCTTTCAATTAAATAGTTGAGTTGACTATTTAGATGCCTTATATATTAATTTTGTAACTGATTAACAAAAAACATAAATGAAGAAGTCAATTTTCTTGGAGCTTAAGGCTAATAAAATAAACAGCTAGAACAGAGGATTAGATTATAAAAGCATTTTTTGGATTGTTCGATAAGCTGCAGAATTAAACTTTGTTCTTTTTGACAATTATCTATACATGGCTCCAAATAGTAAGAGGAAACAGAAAACTTCATCAAAAGAAGAGCCTTCTTATGTGGAACCATGGCAAAATCTTCCTGAAAAGCTACTCAACTTTCTCAAAAAGCAACCAAGACCTTCAAAACTAGTTGAATCCATAGGTACTGCTGGTATTTCTAAATCATGGAGATGTGTGTCGAGAAAATGTGATTCCATTTCACAATCACCGTGGCTTGAGCTTTCAAATGAACCTCAAAACTATTGCAAAACTCAGCAGCATGCCTTCAGCATCTCATTTGAAGAAGCTGGTTGCTATTGGTGGAATGGTAGAAGAAGGCCGCGTTATGATCTTTGGAAGCATTTTCACAACTACTCACCTTGGTGGATTTTGAAAGGAGATAAGCTACCTATTGATTACTGCTTTCTGAATAGTTCAAGAGCCTATTGTTATTGGTCTACTTCCTCGTCTGATCGCAAAAAAACATTTTTATTTCCCTATTCCTCTAATGGTGGTGGCGGTTGTTGTTTTCCAGCTTTTGTAGTTTCTAAGTTGGGAGGAAACCAAAAATGGATGAAACAAGAAAGCAGTCAAAATGGTCTTATTGATCCGAATGATCCCAAGGGGCAACTGATACAATTCAGCAATGCCATTATCTTCGAAGGGAAGTTTTATGCACTAAGTTCGCAAGGAACCCTGGCTGTAATAGAAGAAGTTGAAAATCAGTTTCAAGTAACGCGACTTAGTAGAAGGCAAGCCATTCCTTCAAGCTACTCAAGGCATTTCATAGAGTACTTGGTTGAATCTAATGGAGAGATCTTGATCATTTTCCTGATCTCAGAAAGATCAAACAGGGTGGTGGACAAAGTGGAAGTGTTCAAGCTGAAGATTGAAGATTTGTCATGGTTAAGATTGGAAAACCTCGGGGATAGAACGTTATTCGCAGGGATTAAATGTGGTATGTCAGTGCCTGCAAGTCAAATTGGCTGCAGAAACAACTGTGTCTATTTTACTCATCATTACATTGATGGCTGGAGACTGTATGATATAGGAAGTGGCTGCATATCCCCCTGTTATGATGATGCTGGTTCTGAGATTAAAGATCCAGTGTGGGAGGAGCCAATAATTGGAAAAAGAACATCACGACGATGAAACACATGTTTATGATTCAGTATTTCTTCTATGTTGTATTATCATTCTGACATGTTAGTAACCTTGTTACAATGTGAAATAAAAGGAATTCCTGTACATCTCTTCTGAGACCAAAGTTCAATTATTATTATTGTTACATCACTTGCATCAGTTCATGTTTCTATTAACTCATTTTCCATGCTTTGCTCCCATGGCAAATCGAAATATTATAGTGATTAATAAAGAAGAAGAAAATTATAAAAGGGACAGGTGACATTTAGTCTCTCTCTGTTAGGAGTTTCACAAAAGAAAATTATCTGGACAGCATCCCACTGCTATTAGTGCACCATGGGAATGAGTGAATGACCCTTGAAATATATCCACGGGTCCTTCCATGTCCGCAATCTTCTACCATAAGGCTAGTAATATCCCATATAAAGCCAGATATGGAAGCAGTGAGAATGATTCTTGTTTTGTTGAATTTCAGTGAGTTGTGGCCATAGCGGCTTCCCTATTGGCCTACAATATTTTTGACTTTGCTGATCTCTGTGACTTGGTGACACCACCAAAAGTGATGTTTTCCAGTAGACTCGGTTCACTTGAGATTAAGCTGGTGAGTTCTTTGGGAAGACATGGCCATTGCCTTGGGCTGGTATTGGTTTCTTTCTTTGGTGAAATTTGATTCTTTTCCTTCTGACTTTTTTTTTTTGCAAATGGGAGCTGGCAAAGGAAATGGTATGGGCATGTAGCTTGAGGCAGGCTTAAAAGTGATCAAGATCAGATGTGGCCAAAAAGTAAGCTAGCCTCCAAGGTAGTTGATCTCTTGGAAAACAAGGTTAGTGGTAGTTTCTTTCAATTAAATAGTTGAGTTGACTATTTAGATGCCTTATTTATTAATTTTGTAACTGATTAACAAAAACATAAATGAAAAATAATTTCTGAAGAAGTCAGCTATCTTGATTCTTGGAGCCTAAGGCACATAAAATAAACAGCTAGAACAGGGAGGATTAGATTATAAAAGCACTTTTTGGATAGTCAGACAAGCTCGGAATTAGACTTTGTTTTTTTTCGACCATTATCTAGACATGGCTCCAAATGATAGGAGGAAACAGAAAACTTCATCTAAAGAAGAGTCTGCTTCTGTTGAACAATGGCAAAATCTTCCTGAAAAGCTACTCAACTTTCTCAAAAAGCAACCAAGACCTTCAAAACTAGTTGAATCCATAGGTACTGCTGGTATTTCTAAATCATGGAGATGTGTGTCGAGAAAATGTGATTCCACTGCACAATCACCATGGCTTGAGCTTTCAAATGAACCTCAATACTATTGCAAAGCTCAGCAGCATACCTTCAACTTCTCATTTGAAGAAGCTGGTTGCTATTGGTGGCATGGTAAGAGAAGGCTGCGTTATGATCCTTGGAAGCATTTTCACTACTACTCACCTTGGTCGATTGTGGGAGGAGAAAAGGTACCTATTGATTATTGCTTTTTGAGTAATTCCAGAGCCCATGGTTGTTGGGCTTCTTACTCGTCTGATCATAAAAAAACATTTTTATTTCCAAGTGTTGGCCATTGTTGTTTTCCAGCTTTTGTAGTTTATCAGTGGGGAAAAAACCAAAAATGGATGAAACAAGAAGGCAGTCAAAATGGTCTTATTGATCCGAATGATCTTAAGGGGCAACTGATACAATTCAGCAATGCCATTATCTTCGAAGGGAAGTTTTATGCACTAAGTTTGCAAGGAACCCTGGCTGTAATAGAAGAAGTTGAAAATCAGTTTCAAGTCACGCGACTTAGTAGAAGGCAAGCCATTCCTTCAAGCTACTCAAAGCATTTCATAGAGTACTTGGTTGAATCTAATGGAGAGATCTTGATCATTTTCCTGATCTCAGAAAGATCAAACAGGGTGGTGGACAAAGTGGAAGTGTTCAAGCTGAAGATTGAAGATTTTTCATGGTTAAGATTGGAAAGCCTTGGAGATAGAACGTTATTTGCGGGGATTAAATGTGGTCTATCAGTGCCTGCAAGTCAAGTTGGCTGCAGAAACAACTGTGTGTATTTTACTCATCGTTACATTGATGGCTGGAGACGGTATGATATGGGAAGTGGCTGCATTTCCCCCTGTTATGATGATGCTGGTTCTGAGATTAAAGATCCAGTGTGGGAGGAGCCAATAATTGGATAAAAAAATGAAACACATGTTTATGATTCAGTATTTCTTCTATGTTGTATTATCATTCTGACATGTTACAGTGTGAAATAAAGGGAATTCTTGTACATCTCTTCTGAGACCAGAGTTCAATTATTACTATTGTTATATCACTTCATGTCTCTTATGAACTATAGATAATATAAAGGGCTGCAACTTATAGTTGTTTAAGTTATTCCAACTGAAAATTTGGTGCTGCCTGGACTTAATGATTTATATGATACTGGTGAAACATACGACAATGACTCTGGTGTATGGTGTTATGTGAATGACAATGAAAAAGGACATATTTTTCTAAATTTTCAAACTCCGAGTTTTCAAAGTAAAATTATGTGATGTTTTTTTCCTTAATAAGAAGAAAGGGAACCACTTAAGTTGAAGATAGAAACAAATAGTGCGTAGAAATCGTATATTTCATTATCATGGCAAAGAATTTACCCCAATTGAAAACAATATTTCAGTCAAGCTCTTCATCAGCAATGTGCCCAGCCTTGGTCTCCTCTGCAAGACTTCTGTACTTGTTCCGCAACTTAGTCCTTCCCTTGCTCAGTAGAGAATTATGGGACTTAAGAATCCTGTTTGCACAATTTTCTCTTCTAACTTCAGGTACAAAAACTCGAAAAACCACCTCTTCAAACTCAGGTTTGTACAGTTCTAAATCATCACTACATTTCGTTGCTGGTGCAAAATGAAAAACGTTGTGGAGGTGCTCGTTTCCCATCATATGATTTTTGAAACCGTTGCCTAAAAATTTCCTTATGTAACTCATCTGTTTCAACTTTGACCAGGTGCTAAAGGTGAGACTTGTTCTGCCTAATGTGAGGGTGACTGTCTTATCGTAATCATCCTCGAGAATTTTTGAAGTGTCTTGTTTGGTGCCATTGCATACTCTCTTTACATGCTCCATTATCCCATCTTTCATGTCCTTCATGCTTGCGTATTCTCTGGCTTGATTTGAAAATTTCTCAAGACTGCCAATTTCAAAAATCAAAGCTAGCGCTTCAATGCTAGCAACATTAACATGTTCATCATCTTCCTCTAATTGTTTCAGAAGAAACGGGATCGATTCTTTCCACTTTTTGGGACTAACGTTCCATCGATCGATGCCTGAAAGAAGGAGAACCCAACCTGATATTGCTGCAGCCGCCACAGAGGACGGATGTTTGGTTTCTTGATTCAAGAATTGCCATATAATTTCCATTGATCTTTCGGTGTCTACAAAGTCTTTGGCACCAACAAAAGTGACAATAGACAAACACTCGAACACCTTGATCGCGTGAGATAATTTGGACTTGATGAGGAGTTCAGGAACTAACATAAGCAATTCTTCATACACCTCATGTGCATTATCACCTGCACCAAGAGTCAAAACAACAAATCCTATCAGTTGTAATGCTAAATCAATCTCCAATGCTGAACCCCGTTTCAAGCAATTTTGGCATCGATGTATCAAAGTGACAAAATTATTTTCAACAAATTCGTAATGGACATTGGTCTGAAATTGCTTAACCAATATCTTTAGTGCGTTTTCTCTGACAGAACTCTTTTTCTTGAATAATTCTTCTAAATAAGTATGGAGCTTCTTTTTTGGAATAGCGGTTGAATTTGAAGCATCGTCCATTTGTATCGACTGCTTAAATTCTTGACGTATGTGGCAGAACTCTGGTATATTTGTACCTTAGTATTCCTATATTTATAATACTAATAAACAAAATAAAATCAGCAATACTAAAGTAAACTAGGACTAGAATTAGTTTATTTCCTTTCTTGTCAGGCTTCTCTTCCCTCAGTTCTCTGGGTGTAAAATTAAACTAATTGTTTGCAAAGTGACAGAAAATCGTTAGTGGCGTATTTCTCGAACTAGCTAGAATGAAGAATATTTTCCATTAATTTGCGGAATATTCTAGATGCGAATTTAGTACCCTTTATATAAGCATGAACTAGGGTTTAGGGTTGAGTAGTCTCCAAGAATTATAATTGAAACTGAACACATTTTCTAGACTCCCAATTCGAATTGTTGTAGAGTTCACAAAATTTCAATGTCTACACTAATATAATGAATATAATTTTTACCCCAATTTCTTTTATGCCGATTGATGTGAATCTCAAATAGTATTCTCTAAGAGATTTCTAAGATGTTCCAACTAGTAGGCTTTCTCGTATGATATTCGATCTATATCCCTTTTCACCCCTGGAGGCCTTATGTGTTGCGCAGGAGCATTTTGAAGAAGTTAATTCCTTCTATAAAAATTATTATGCATCAGCCTAAAGAGTAAAGGATTGTTCATTTTAAACACAACTGTAGAAATTTTTGGTACCTTGCTGGTGGCTTTTGGTCCTAATGAGTCTATGAACGACTTTGTTTTATCAAGGAGCTGTTTACTAAGAAAAAGCTCAACTAACAACTTCCCCCAAAACTCGACCTTTTGAAAGACGAAAAATCAGTCAAAACTAAAAAGAAAAACAATCATTTTATTTTTGCTGTCAAAGTGAATTGAATTCTCAACTTTTAACAAAACTTAGAATTTAATCATCCATGAGAGAATTCAATATAAAAAAAAAAAAAAAGCAGTAGTCATGGTTTACAAAAGTGATTTTGTCGATGAAGCAGCTGACGAAGTATAGACACTTGAGGAAATAGTGTAAGTCATAGTCTGCTCCTGCTTATTAACTTCATAGGTATTTGAAAATGGAGACGAAAACATATTCAATGGAGGGGGTGAATATGTTGCAACTGGCATTCTTGATGGAAGATTTGGTAATTGGGCTTCAGAATTTAGAACATGGATTGCTTGCCTTATTGATGGCCTGAGTTTGTTGTCTGGATGAGCACACCATAGACCGATGACCATTAAACGTTCCATTTCTTTCTCATTAAACATTTTATTCAATCTTGGATCAGTTGCTTCGACTAGCTCTCCCGTTCCATAGAGGCTCCACACCCATTCAACCAATCTCACTTCATCTTCTGGTGCTTTGATATTTATTGATCTTCTTCCACTTGCTATTTCCAATGCTACTATTCCAAAGCTGTATACATCTGACTCCTTGCTAGCTTTTCCATTCATGATACATTCCGGTGCCATATACCCCACGGTCCCTGCTAACATTGTTGTTTGAGATCCTTTGTCATGGTCAATAAGCCTAGCCAACCCAAAATCACCTAATTTAGCGGTGAAGTTTGAATCCAACATGACATTACTTGCTTTTATGTCCCTATGGACTACGCATTGTTCCCACTCTTCGTGTAGATACAGCAAAGCTGAGGCAATTGCTTGAGCAATTTTCCACCTTATTTCCCAGACCAACAATGACTTATCTTTGAAAAGATGTTTATCTAGGCTTTCATTGGGCATCAATTCATAAACAAGATGAAGCTTCTCTTTCTCGTGGCACCAACCGATAAGTTGAACCAAATTTCTATGCCTTAATCGACTGATGATCTTCACTTCTGATGCATACTCCATTATCCCTTGTTTAGACCCTTTTGACACTCTCTTAACAGCAACATATGAGTTACATTCCTTCAATAAACCTTTATAAACATCACCAAATCCCCCTTCTCCAAGCTTCTGTCCCTCAGCAAAGTTGTTTGTTGCACGAGCTAATTCACCATACGAGAACTTCTTAGGACCGGTACCCTTTTCAAATTCATCATCCATATCTAGATCAATGAAGACATGGTCTAATTTTTTATCTCCTTTCTTCTTTTTCTTCCACAAAAAGCAACTGGCAGTTATCAAACCAAGAATCAGAATAGGTAAACCTATGCTTGATCCGACTAGTAGTCCCTTGCTTCCTTTTCCCGAGGTGCTGAGTACTTCTTGAGGAGGACCCTTGGGTTCTTGAACATGAGTAATGGGAGGATCATTTGGATTTTGACCTTGAATAGGATGATTTCTTGGATCTTGAGCTTGTATAGGAGGACTTGCACTAGGCTGTTGTGGAACTTTGATAGCATCAAAACTCAAACTTGAATTGAAATCCCAAGACTTGACATTGTTTTTCTGAAACAATTGTCCAGTTGATGCTGAGAAGCCAAAACTAACATTCTCAGGCAAATAATCCCTCAGATCAACCGGGTAGCTTAGTTTGTCTCGATTATATTTTTTCTCAAATCCTGTGAAAACAACTTCAAGAACCTTGGAATTAGCATTGTAACTAATCCAAGCATCATTTTTCTTCCCAAGTTTAATGTCATTTTTCCATATTGTTGTAGCAACAGATTCCATAGAATTTATATTGATGCCTACATGTATGTCTGAGGGGTCCCAGTTATTCACATGTGTATCGAACTCTACAGCAACAAATGACTCATGTGATGACATGTTTTCTGTCTCAGCATCAACAAGACCAAGGCCACTGCCAAACGAACCAACTGGAATACTCGAACCAACAGGAGCTAAGAAAAAGGCTAGTCCATCAGCAAAACGATCGTTACCATTTGAATCAATAACAAAAGAGAAATGTGTAGTAAAATCTGTCATTTCCCCTGTAGCTTTGTCCCATAACTGCAGTGTCTCAATGTACATGGCGCGTCCTGTTTTCCTACTTAATGTAATGTTACGTTCATTAGGCGTAACTTGTATGCCCTGTTTCGTTACGTAGGCGTCTCCAGTGACATTGATAGAGAGATTAACATAAGAAGGATTGATATTGGTGAGATTGAAGTTCAATGAATATAAAGAAGGGATAACAAAAATTACTAAAAATAGCAACATGTTCAAAAATTTGCTGAGAAACATGGCTTAGATGGTATTTTTGATATTTCACACAAATTGCAGTTTAAGTACACTCCATTTGGAAATGTTTGTTTTATGAACTTGTTTGTCTTTACCTTTTGTATTTTTGACAATATCATCGATAAGCTTTGGACGGCTTTGTTAAATAACTACTCTATACACCAAGCCATTGGTGGACTATTTCTTTTTCTTTAATTATTCGGTATTTGGTATATTAATCCGAACCAATTACGGAAATAGCTTATATGAAAGATTTTCAATTATATATTATAACTTTAAAATAAGATATTTTTACGTGTTTAATATACGGTACACAATTTATTTATTTATTTATCGTTTTCAGTCTCAAAATTTTTTTGTTTGTCCTTTGGCAACAATTGAATTGATCAACTCTTGTGTAATTGTTTAATTAGCAAACTCTTTGTTTGTCCTAGGCAACAATTGAATTTGAACATGTAAGAGAAAAATCCGTTCCATGTACGACCTCATGGGCTTACCTAAGCCCAATAGGCTTACTACAGGTCCAAGAGGAATTAAGAGTCTACTAAAACGATCAACAACAACATATTTTTATATTAGTGCATCCAAATATTTTCTTCAAGGACCAAACCAGATGATTTCAAATTTTGCAATAAAACCCACATCCAACATAAATCCCACCAGACATAACATGCTCTTTTATACTAATTTTTTTTTGAAAGTTCGTCTTTTTTGATTTCTCATTCAGGATTCCTACATGTATTAGAACCTGACTAACTTGAATTCATAACACGTAGGACCATATTTAGAGGGAACCGCTCCCTACCCAAAAAAAAAAATTATATCTAAAATTCAAACTCAAACATCTAATTAAGAAAGGAGTTGTTTTATTTGCTACACTGCATCCATTGGTATTTTCTCTTTTGTTGTTTTTCCCTATGTCCGGTTAAAAAGGATGCATAAAACTAAAAGCATGGAGTAATTGAAAAAATCGAGATACATACACCATAAAAATATAAAGATATTCTTTATATGATCTTCTCTCCTTTTAATTAACCTATGATTTATTTTGTTTCCTTAAATGCTACAAGATGCTATTGCTTTACTTTGTACTTCCTCTATTTCATTTTACCTAACTTCTTTGTTAAAAATAATTTTTTTATTAATGATTTGTGTCAAGTCAATATAATAAAATTTATTAAATTATTTATTTTCATTTTTATCCTTACTTAATAAATATGAAGAATGATTAATATATGATGCAAAAGAAAATAGTATTAAATTAAGATTAAAATTAAAAATAATAATTAATAAACTATATTTTAATTAATATATTTTTACAGAACATAAAAATAATTATAACAAGTAAATTGGACCAGTTGAAATATTCGTTTATTCAATTTGTCCCATATATAGTCACTGAAACGGAATAATACCTACTTTTGGAAGTTATTCTTTTTGTTGATTGTGAAAAAGTTAGTGATGCATGTGAAATAATTAGCACCCTTAATTAGTTGGAAGCAATAGATTAATTATCGCCTGAAATTTACATAAGACAGAATCACTTTCCTTTTTTTTATATGGAAAATGGTCTTTTCAAAAAGCATTATGGTCTATGAATTTAAATATATTGGTGCTACCTAAGTACCTATACAATAAAATAACATCACATCGAACAAAATCAGGATAAGAACAAAAACAAATTATTTGTAGTGCTTTTTCTTTACACACTCCTTAACAAAAAAATAATCCCTCTCACTAGGGGTGTATACTATTTGGATTAAATCAAACCAAATCAAATCAAATTTTAATTTGGATTGGTTTTTTGGATTCCCACATCCAACATAAATCCCACCAGACATAACATGCTCTTTTATACTAATTTTTTTTTGAAAGTTCGTCTTTTTTGATTTCTCATTCAGGATTCCTACATGTATTAGAACCTGACTAACTTGAATTCATAACACGTAGGACCATATTTAGAGGGAACCGCTCCCTACCCAAAAAAAAAAATTATATCTAAAATTCAAACTCAAACATCTAATTAAGAAAGGAGTTGTTTTATTTGCTACACTGCATCCATTGGTATTTTCTCTTTTGTTGTTTTTCCCTATGTCCGGTTAAAAAGGATGCATAAAACTAAAAGCATGGAGTAATTGAAAAAATCGAGATACATACACCATAAAAATATAAAGATATTCTTTATATGATCTTCTCTCCTTTTAATTAACCTATGATTTATTTTGTTTCCTTAAATGCTACAAGATGCTATTGCTTTACTTTGTACTTCCTCTATTTCATTTTACCTAACTTCTTTGTTAAAAATAATTTTTTTATTAATGATTTGTGTCAAGTCAATATAATAAAATTTATTAAATTATTTATTTTCATTTTTATCCTTACTTAATAAATATGAAGAATGATTAATATATGATGCAAAAGAAAATAGTATTAAATTAAGATTAAAATTAAAAATAATAATTAATAAACTATATTTTAATTAATATATTTTTACAGAACATAAAAATAATTATAACAAGTAAATTGGACCAGTTGAAATATTCGTTTATTCAATTTGTCCCATATATAGTCACTGAAACGGAATAATACCTACTTTTGGAAGTTATTCTTTTTGTTGATTGTGAAAAAGTTAGTGATGCATGTGAAATAATTAGCACCCTTAATTAGTTGGAAGCAATAGATTAATTATCGCCTGAAATTTACATAAGACAGAATCACTTTCCTTTTTTTTATATGGAAAATGGTCTTTTCAAAAAGCATTATGGTCTATGAATTTAAATATATTGGTGCTACCTAAGTACCTATACAATAAAATAACATCACATCGAACAAAATCAGGATAAGAACAAAAACAAATTATTTGTAGTGCTTTTTCTTTACACACTCCTTAACAAAAAAATAATCCCTCTCACTAGGGGTGTATACTATTTGGATTAAATCAAACCAAATCAAATCAAATTTTAATTTGGATTGGTTTTTTGGATTTTTGGATTTTTGGTTTGATTTTGAATTTATAATTTACTTTGTTTGGTTTCGAATTTAGAAAACTGAAAACCAAAAAACCAAAAAAAAAACGAATTATATACATACATACATACATATATATGTATATGTTTAGAATTAAGTTGGAGTTAACCACTTTTGTCCCTTTTTAGTTATTTTCATTATGATTTAGTTTTTTTTTTTTATGTTTGGACATCTATAATTGATATACTTTTAAGTATTGTGTTTTACGTTTTACTTGTGATTTATATTAAAAAGTATATTTAAGAAATTCATTTTGGTTCGGATTGGGTTACACTTCTTCAAAACCAAAAACTGAAAAATCCAAACTGAATAGTATAAAACCAAACCGAAAAACCGAATGCACACCCCTACCTCTCACTCTAATTACTTGTCCATTTTACCCCTTTACTTGTAAAGTGAATGAATTAAAAATTTAGGATTTTCAAGAAGTTCTATCGTTTTTAAAGTAATTAATTGAGGGTATAATAGGTAAAAAAATTGTATTTTCTTGAATTGTCAAAATGAACAAATAATTATGGACAACTAAAAAAAAAGTGGACAAGTAATTATGAACAGAAGGGGAGTATTAATTAGGTGGACAAGAATAGTAGTAGTAACTATTAGCGACAAAGTAGAAGAAAATTGATAATTAAGTTTGTTTGTCTTGAACTTTTATAAATAATAGAGTATATATTTTTTAAAATCATAACAAGTATTTTTTTCGTTCAATAATAGTTGTTCAATAATATTTATCTAATTTAGAAAATCAAGAGATAATTTATATTTTGTGTCTATTTTATCCTTGCTATTAAATATTCCATTATTTATCATCTAACACATTTTTTAAAGCACTAAATTTAATAAAGTCCAATGATAATATAGCAATATTAACCCTATTATTTATTGTTTCTTAAGGGGTGCATCAAGTGTGGATAATTATTGTTGGATAGAAAGAATAATTTGAGACATTTTTTCTTTTGCTTTTTAAAGTAACTAGTTTCATTTATTATGAGTATATAGTTAACTAGATGTGATAAAATTCTTTGAAACATTAACCTTTACAGCTAGAATTACTATATTTAAATCAACTTCATGCATTGCTTATCTGTCCTTTCCTCAAGACTATGTGAACATGTTCGATCGTATCAGGAAATAATATCGACTTTTCATTTTTTTTAAATTATATTTTAGTTGTCTCAATTTTTGTGAGGGTGTCTGATTTGACATAAAATTTAATTATTTTTAAAAAAATTTATAGTCTAAAATAAACAATAGATATTTGTATGATTATAAACATCCCATTAAGCATAAAATATACATTTTAAAATTTATTTTTTATTCTGCAAATTTACCACTATAAAAAATATTATTCTTTTAAAATGATTGGAAAAAAGTGACACATAAATTCTACTAAAGTCCATATATATGCATAAATTCTACTAAAGTCCATATATATGCCATCTGAGTATATATATGCCATCTGAGTATACGAGCAATATATTGGTAATATCATTTTTCTCTTAATTAAATTAAGGGTCGTTTGGTAGAGTTTATTAACAAAAATAATGCATGCACTAATTTTATATATTAGCGGTCCTTAGTATGGTACACTTTTTATGCTATGTATAATTCTCTATTGTGTATTGAGGAGTCTATTACTAATTTCATAAATTTTTAGGTATTAATAATGCAAAGAGATTTAATACATACATGAGACATTAGCATGGTTAAAGACTGAATTATCCGTCAAAATCATTTTTACATCTTTTTTACTATAATTATGGAAGATATTTTTATAAATAAATATTTTTATACGATACATATTATTTTTAATATACCAAACCAAACAATATATAAAAATAATAATCTATATATAACTAATACAAGCATTACTGACTTTTATACACTCTGTCAACGACCCCACTATTTTTTTGTTGTTTACAAGTGTATAGTAGTTACCCAGTGTCGGCTCT